CGGTATCCTATGCGGCAATCGTGAATTGCGTGCGCCGTGACAGTGCGATGACACCTGTGCCTTTCCGAGAGGAACGAACCGTCAGTACCTCACCTGTGGGGGTGTTTTTCCGCGCTGCACCATAAGAATTTTGTATAGCGACCGGAAGACGTCGGTTCACCACTGTCTTCTTCGCGTCCGGCAGAGGTAAGTGTATCCAATAACGATCACATGACAATTTCATGAAATAAAAAGGGTATTATGTACTATATTAATTAATTTTATTATTCATTAATCATCACCTATTGCTACTTTTTGATTATTTAAACGTGATGCTTAAGTAGCAACAATAGCGAATTAATGCAATTCTGCAACTCCCTTCTGTTATTCTAGACATGATGAACCATTACTGCGGTATTCCCTTACAGAAATCTAATACTGACTAATTTAATATTGGCCAATTTATTACTGAAAGACAGTAATAAATTACTTATTTGATACTAAAAGTCTCAAATAAAAGTGCTTTTAATATTTAAAATATGTAATTAATTACAATCTTTTAATATTAGCTAATATTAGATTTCTATATAAAGATATAATAGATTATGCATGTAATATAATCTTTTCAATTTATTCTTAATGGCTGTTACTTAGTACAAATAATGCAAAAATCGATAATATCGACAAATATTGTTAAAATATTTAAAATAATACAATGTTATCGCTGGGGTGTTTGTATCAACAGTTTTGAGCAGTCAAATCGGTTGTCAGCAATTATAGTTTCTGAACATGTTTTCAAAAAACAGAAGCATTCTATAATTCTCTGTAGTTCTCTTTAATAAATTTTCTATCATTCTGCAACGGATTAGATTTACAACAACATATTTCGGGTGTGTAAATATTAATGTCACTCTCTAAATTTCTTGGAATCTCACAAAAGAATTAAAATACTACATTATTTAAAAATAGTAAAGATTTGCATTCTTGAATAAGTGATAGATTTTCACTCTTTTGAAGTGAGATTTCACTCCAATAAATTTAAAGTGCACATCAACTAGTATGTAAATAATATAAATCTCAGATTAAAGGAAGTATTGATGTAACATTTATACATTGTCTTAATAATGCTAAAATTTGATACAAAAAAATAATTATGAATTAACGACGGGCGAATTTTCAATTTTCACGTTATTATGGAATGTATGTCGCAATTTATCACATTTACCGCAATGCCTTCATGAAAATAATTCACTCTGGAGTGAAATATTTTATTGCAATGGGGCTATTATAATTTCAATGTTCTCGCACTTGCAATCTCGAACATGATTGTGAAACATCTACGGCTGCGTTAGCAGTGGCGATATGCGACAGACAATAATGGTTAATTGGTAATAACGTCTGCAATAAGACGGGCACGATCATGTATCTTCACGCCTCTTCGAGAAGCGCAAAGAGAAATGCAACGAGAATAGAATTACACACATCTCGACAGTTAGATAAACAGATTTCCTTGTATTTTTTAAACAATTATTAAAAAATTATATTTTTAAAATATTGTTAAATTAGGAGATATTAAATTGATTTAAAAGTTGATTGTATTTGTCAAGTAAATTTGAAAGCAAAGTTACATATTTTCAAAGTAAATTGCCGCTCTTCTTCTTCATCTAGAAAGATTTATTTTACAAGAGTTGATTAAAGCAATTGATCAAGGCGCATCAAATGTTCATTGTTCTAAATTTTATCAATAGTAGTAAGAGCGGAGCTTTTATTCTTTAACTTGAGATTTATTTCCATGAAATACTTTTGCCTAGTCATCTTTGTGTTTTTCAGAGTCATCTAGAAGTGTCCTTAACGTAATGTTTTTCATATTTAACCGCGTTACACGGGAAAACTTCATGTTTAATAAATCATGCGTTCTATGTTAAACTGGGAATAAAAGTAGAATTATAGAAAGATCGATAACGACGCATTCATTTTACTGAACTATAAGTACTCGTATAAATTGCAAAGCACGTCAAAGCGATCGATTCGCTTTTATACCCATCGCAACGCCATTTCACACGTTCAGTGCATCTTTGTGATTATATAAACTACGTCATGTACACGTACACTTCCTGTATATATTAATTCACTGTAATTTAATAAATGTATGTTGCAAAGTAATCGTCCTCGCATATTTTTTGATATTTTTAGACTTATTACATGTAATATGAAGTACGATATCATCAATATCGCACATTTTGGCGGTTTCTGCTAAATGCAAAAGCTGCTACCGGATGTGAATTTGAAATGGGATAAAGAAACGGATGAAGTTACAGCAGATTGGAGCGAAGCGCACGTGTATACATGCCTGTTCGACAAAGTGTTCCTTGTTCCAATACAAGTATTATCGTGATTCTCGGTATCGAAATTATGCACGACGTACGTCATGTAATGTAACACGCGTTCGTTAATTTTTACGCTGGGATTATTTCATAGGATAATTTAAATATGACAGTACCTCTGTGTAAAAATTCAAATTAGACGTGAAATCTTGTTATCTTTTCATCTTTAATCCCCATTGACAAGGCTAGCTCTAATAGACTCGTGTGCAATAACTTAGTTGACATGCAGTAAGACTCGTATTTAATATGCAAAGGTAGCGAATGGTTCCACTTAAATCGTGACGAGTCGCTTTCGCAAGGATTAACGATTACCGTCGCTCTGTAGGAATCGCCGTTGCCTGCCTCCAAAGCGAGCGCCATATTCACGCTGTATCTCTCGTCAACGTTTTTGTAAACGTTATTTTCTTGCGGAAATCTCTGGTGGCCATCTGTCAGAGGCACTCCGCTCCTGTGCGTCCCGATGCGCTACTCGCTAGGTCGCGATAACCGCTGTAAACCTGCTCGACGCGTTCTCGAGTTTTTAATTGCGTTACTCGCGATTTACATTACGATGGAGCAATCTTTCCCGTCGGTTTTAATCGGTTCAAGAAATCCTTGAAGCGTTTAAACTAATTTGTGTTCTCCTATTAGCTTCAATAAAATTAGGTTTTAATGTATCATCAATGCTACATCGTTCGCTTCAATATGATCATTGAAACGAATCGTATTCATGCAGTATAAATACAATGTTAAAAAGATATTTAATATAACATGTTTTTTTTCGATATTATATATGACATATTATTATATAAACGCACATAAATATATATAAACAACAACAAGCGAATTAAAAGACATAATCTTAATGTGAATTATAGAAATTATTTGAGATACGCAACTTGGATGGGCAACTTTGCGTTTTAAACTAATTTACTTTACATTACTATTTGGTGACTTCATCCATTTTTATGTAATATCGTCCACTTGTGCAACAATTTATTTTTTTTTCTTTCTTTTCCTTCTGTAATTTAGCCAACTGTAATTTAGCGTTATCCATTGAGATGGGCGAAGCTGAGTGCATCGAACTCGATGCATCGAAAGTAAGCGCAACGATAGGTCACTGTTACGTGTGGGATTCATTATAGATTTTTACGAGGGTTACTTTCTTCCACAGGCGATAGATTTACAACCTTATGCCTCATTGCGTATTTCTAATCTTACGATTTACGGGTTACGTCATGTATGTTCTCATGCAAAACTTTTCATATAGATAATGGTCGTTGAGAGAAATTGTATAAATAAGCAGTATATCTTTTCTTAATTCCAAGAGTAGTGAAAATGATTAAATACCATAAATGCGGACATATTATAAATTCAGCGCATAAATAAAAGTAATAACGTTTTGCGAGACAAATTAATGTTCACAGTAATGAACCAGAAACTTTAAAATAAAATAAAGTGAGCGCGGAAGTAAAATGTAAGAAAAGCTCGGCTTTAAAATTTAAAAAAGCAAAATGAATTTAAACATAAAACAAACTATATTCCATTCAGAGATATCTTTATTTTGTGGTGTGAAAAGAGTAAATATACATAGTAGGAAATATATAACTGTTATAAAAGCAGAGAAAATTAAAATTCATACATCGTTTTATACAGATTTGATATATTGTTTATTGTTTTACATACAGTAAATTAAAACAGCACAACAATTTTATCGCTTTAGATTTGACTGACGCTTTAGATTTTGTTTATTGTTTTACATTCGATAAAAAATATTATCTTTTTTTTTTTGAATGACGCGAAAACGACAGCTCCGGAAATTCCGGAGTGTTGCTGATGACGTCCCGCGATGCATCGCTGTATTGCTGTACGGGCGCGGTACGTTGTCGAGCAAATAAAAGAAAAAATAAAATTGAGAGAAACACAAATGCACGGTCGCTCCTATCGTAAATCATCGTCGAAAATACAATAATATGAGAGGGAAGGGATACGCGCTCGCGCCATAAACCAAATCGCATCGGTTGACTCCGCTTGACCTTTGAGTCCGGTTGACCTTCTTAAGGAGCTTTTGTGCGACACATTTTGGTCGCTTTATGCCTTTTTCGACAGATCCCATCGCGCGGGGTCCACCGGTTTGCAATTTTAAATAGATGCGTCTGCTAAGATATCCATTGAGGTTCCGCAGATTTGAGAGATGATAGGCTAGATATGCAGAGCACATCGTCTCGTTGGCCTCGAGGGGCGGATTATTCTGGAATTTTGATATTCAACGGTGAGATAACAAGAAATTACTATATATAAACAAGTTATTAATATTTCAATGTGTGTTAAAATAATATTAAAAGTCTTAATTAGAGGTGGTATTTTTTTATCACTAGTGTTTTAAATACTAATGCATTCAATTTATGATTGCGTGTTGCTAATTTTGAGAATTATCTGATACTTTGCTATTACGAAGTTAGTGTTAAAAATTCTCGCTCAGCATTTTACGCTTCAAATAGCTTTGATTACATATGATATGATTACACTAAATAATTATATGAATAATGTGTCTGACTTTTTAAATGTTAGCTTTCGCTTTTGTTCTCGCTTGAAATAATCCCGCCTGTGCCGAATCACGCACGCGCGATCATAAATTGATAATATCAGTGAATTAGTTAGCGCGATCGAGTTGGTTTGCATAGCGTACAGTACATAACTGTAGAATGCGATCGCGTTGTACACGCGCATACGTATTAGCTTATTTTGTTCTCCTAAGCAGCTATCTAACCAGCATATCTTGAAATATTAATCCAACTTTCAGAATTACTATTAATATATATTAATATATATTATAATTATAAT